CCAGGACTGGGAAGATGACAAATAATCACAGCTAAACACTGTGTGCTCATTGTGTTCCCAGCATTGTTTTAAGAGCTGTTCAAGTATTAACTCAATCATCCTGCAGCCCAATAAACTGGGAACTGTTATCAGTATCTTTATTTTATAGATGACAAAAGCGAGACACAGAGACATTAAGTGACTTGCCCAGGGTCACCCAGCTAGGAAGGGTAGAGGTGGGTGCCTCAGTTTCCTCTTTCACTTCTCAGATAGGGGCGGCCTTCTGGGAGTGGCCCTGCCAGGTGTTTGGTGAGCAGTGCGGAGCCAGCTTGGGGCGGGCGGGACGTGCAGTTCCCCAGGCAACCCCTTTGAGAAGCAGTGAGAGTGTCACCAGAGGGGCAGGGCTCTGGTTAAAGGCACCGCACCCCTTTTACCAGTGACTCAAAGGCGGCGTTCACTGTGAGGGGAGGGGGCGGGAAACGGAGGCTCCCAAACAGCGAGGGACCTCCCGCCCCGCCACGGAAGGGCCAGAAAGAACCCGAGAAAGGCTGGAAGGACTAGCACGGGGCTCCACCCCATCAGGCCCCGCCCCTGGGCGCCCCGCCAGCCCGCCCGACGGCGCTCGGCCGCGCCACGCCCTGCCACGGGAGGTCCCCCACCTCCCAGCCCCTTGGAGCCCCATCCTGGAGCCCACGGAGGAGTCCACGCGGCCTCCCTCCACGGCGTTCCCCAAACGCCCCATGGACCCCTGGCCTCACCGCGTGGCCCAGCGACTCCCGACCACCCCCTCCAAACCCCATCGACCCGCCCTGCGCCCCTGGTTTCGGGCCTCGGCCACGAACCCACTTCCCCCGTCCCTCTGCCCAGCACCCGCGGCCACGCGCCTTCCTCGGCATGCGTGTGTGTGTGTGTGTGTGTGTGTGTGTGTGTGTGTGCATGCTATCGAGCCACTCCGCCCCGCCCTTGCCCACCCGCCGGCCCGGGACGCTCACAATCTCGGCGAACAGAAGGATCCCCTTGATGGTGCGCACGAAGCTGGTGCAGCTGGCCCAGCAGCCGGGGGCCGAGAAGCGATCGGAGTCGGCCATGGCGTGGGCCGGAGTCCCTGAGGGCGCGGAGGATCTGCTCGGGTTCCCGCGGGCTCGTGGACACTGCACACCCAGCCGTCTTGCCCTCCGTTTGGCCGGGAAGGGGGCCCTGAGGCGAAGGAGGGAGTGAATCACCGAGCCCAGCCGAAGCGGGCGGGGCCTGAGGGGGCCGGGCCAGGTGGCTGCCGCCCCGGAAGCCCCCTCGCCCCGCCCGCCTGGGATCGTCCCCACCCGGAGCGCAGCCACCCGGGGCGCCCCATCTCCGGAGGTGCCAGCCTCGGAGACTTGGCACTTCGGGGTTCCTTGAACGGTAATGGCGAAACCCTTTGCCCTTTTTAAGAATGCAAATGTTTCCAGGGCTGCCTCAACTCACAGCCCAGGGGAGCTGGCCTTCTGGAGGGACTGACTGGGTTTCCTTAGCGCTAAACAAACAAGCAAACAAACAAACAAACAAACGGTGGGGGCCCTGGTGAAACTAGGTATATTGCCAGAATTCGGAATATTTCGAATTTTGGAAAATTTCCCCAGTGCAACCCTAGCTGGATTGGCTCAGTGGCTAGAGTGTCAGCCTGCGGGCAAAGGGTCCCAGGTTCAATTCCCATCAAGGGCAGGTGACCTGATTGAGGGCTTGATCCCTAGTAGGGGCATGCAGGAAGCAGCCAATTCTCTCTCATCATTGATATTTCTCTCTCTCTTCCTCTCTCCCTTCCTCTCTGAAATCAGTATATATTTTTTAAAATTTCCCAGTGCATAGATGGTGTATTACTTAACATTCAGTGGTGAGACTGCCGTGTGTGTGTGTGTGTGTGTGTGTGTGTGTGTATGTGTGTGTGTGGACGTTCACTGTAAGTGGAATAAGTAGGACAGAAAATTGTGCCTCATTGAGCCAGATCAGGTTTTGTAACAAATGGTTCCAAATTGTGGGGAGACTCAGTTTCCAGGGCTGTGGGGATTGGGAATTGCAGATAAAGGACCTGGGACGTGGAATAAACCTCCTGGCAGGGATGGGAATTGAACTGCCGTGGTACACAGGCCGAGAGAGGACAGGGCCTGGTGAGCATCTGCTCAGTAAACGGGGGCAAACACTATGAATAGCGTTGGAGCTCAGGGTGTGTCTGATACTCTGTTCTGCAATCCTAGGGCAGTCTGCTTTTCTGGTTCTGAGGCAAGGGGCTGTCAGTCCAGCCCTCGATGAGGAATGGAAAAGGAACAGGAGTCTTATTGCTGGGAGCTTGGCAAGATGGGGGGAAGACTCTTGGGGTGCCAGTCTGGGCGACAAGGCTGACAGCATTTGGAGAGTGTATTGCCCTGAGCAAGCAATTTCTCCTGACTCAGACTAGCTTTCTGCATGTGAGATAGGCACCTGGTTAGGTGTGCTGGGTGCACACTCTCTAGATTGGACATTGGTTTTATTCTCAGCTCACTTGAGGAGAGAGTTGTGGCTGGAAGGCCAGGATAGTTCAACCGAAGGGCTTTCACGCTGTCCATCCCTTAGGCTCCGGCACCTCAAAACCAGAGAAGGGACTCTCCTCTTTCAGCCCGGTGAAAGAGTGATCGGATAGCGGAAGGGATGAAGCCTACTTTCCTAGGGCTCACTGTGTGCTTTCCAACTGTGTGAAGACTGAAGACGTGCTTGAGTTTCTAGAACATACCATACTCTGCACTTCATCCAGGCCTTCGCACCTGATGTTCCTGCTGCTGTCAATGCACTTCTCCCAGTTCTTTATATTATACATCTCGCTTCTGGTCATTCAGGTCTCAGCTCAAGTGTTATGTCTTCAAAGAGGCCGGCAACCCACCATAATTTCCTTCCCCAACATAACCTCCTCTTGCTGTCTTCGTAACTTTCACTTCTTTTTAAATTTCTTTATTGATTAAGATATTACATGTGTTCTTATTCCCCCATTACCGCTCACCTCCCATTCATGCCCCACCCCCCTGTTGTCTGTGTCCATTGATTAGGCTTATATGCGTGCATGTAAGTCCTTTGGTTGATCTCTCCCCCTTACCTCCACTGTCCCCTTCCTTCCCTGAGGTTTGACGTTCTGATTGATGTTTCTGTTTCTGCATTTATTTTTGTTCATCAGTTTATATTGTTAATTATATTCCACAAATGAGTGAGATCATGTGATATTTATCTTTCTCTGCCTGGCTTATTTCACTTAGCATAATGCTCTCCAGTTCCATCCATGCTGTTGCAAATGGTAAGAACTCCTTTTTTACCACAGCGTAGTATTCCATTGTGTAGATGGACACTTCTGATATTATTCATTTTCCTTTCTGTTCTGATATGTCTACCCCCAGCACAACAACTACACAGAGAGAGAAATCTTTGTTTTTCCCCGAGCATCTCCCCAGGCCTATCACACGCAGCACAAGGAAAACAGTTGGAGTCAATTAGTAGGTGAGATGAAGGCTTGGGAATCAGGCCTGGATTAGATTCATGTTGACAACCCCTCCCTCAGCTAGACTAGGCATGTAGTCTTTGGGCCTCACTTCCGCCCTCTATGAAATGGGCATATCATACAGATGTGTAACCTGCCGAATACAGCACAAGTGAAGCCAGTAGTAGGGATAAGGCTAAGTAACTGGTGGCTTGGGTTACTATTATTAGTCTCCTGATCTGGGCTCAGGAGGCCTTCCCTTACCTCTGGAGAGCCATACCGAACCAAGCTCGGAGTCAGGGGCAGCCCACGCCTCCACAATGTCTCCAGTGCTCACCACTCAAGGTGGATGGAGAAGGAGGAGTTGGCACAGGGAAGAGGAGGGGGGAGAACCCAGCCGGGCTGGGGACGGACAGAAGCAGAGACTTCTCTAGAAGCATGGAAGGAGCAGCACTTGCCGAAACCGGTTTGGCTCAGTGGATAGAGCGTTGACCTATGGACTGAAAGTTCCTGGGTTCGATTCCGGTCAGGGGCATGTACCTTGATTGTGGGCACATCCCCATTTGAGGGTGTGCAAGAGGCAGCTGATCGATGATTCTCTCTCATCGATGTTTCTAACTCTCTATCCCTCTCTCTTCCTCTCAGTAAAAAATCAATAAAATATATTAAAAAAAAAAAAAAAGAAAGAAAGAAAGAAGTAGCACTTTTCAGTGGTTGCAAGAAGAGGCCCTTCTCACATCTTCACGGCTTTACACCCCAACTCCCAGCAGGACTTTGCGGCACCTTTTCTCCTCCCCAGCTTCCCTCTTTGGTGGGGAGATGGAGCCAAGTGTTCAGGATGTGGTAACAGTGAAGGTGACTGGCCGTTTCTGGCCTCCACCAGCGCCGGCTTCCGGGCTACCAGCTGGGAGTCCCGCTGGCCATGGCAGCCTGGGCTTGCGAGCTCTGTTCCCAGGATGGAGCAACTGGCCTCTCCTGGGGCCGGGAACGCCCAGCGCCTGGCATGTGCGCACAGGCCCGCTGCCTCTCGCCATCTAGGGAAGAGGGGGCGCGGCGCCGAGGCTCTAACAGCTTTTTTTAGCTGGGCCGCTGACTCACACCTTCCCGGCCCGCCCCGCCCCAAGGGGCCCAGGGCCCCAGCCCTTGCACTGCAAGTGTCAGGCCGGAAGTGAGAGACCGCAGGTCCCAGCGAAGGTCCCTGCCAGCCGGCCCGCCCTGGAGAGGCTGCGTGATTCCGAGCCAGGGCTGTGGGTAGACTGGTGTCCCCTCCCGCAGCAGGCCCAGTCTGCGTTCCCCACGCCACGCACAACCATTCTCTGAGCCCTGAACACCTCCAGGAAGGGAACATCCATGAGTGGATGGAGCAGCAGATGGCGCGGGGACGTGGAGGGGGGAGAACCCAGCCGGGCTGGGGACGGGCAGAAGCAGAGCCCCCTCTGGAAGCACGGAAGGAGCAGTGGTTGCAAGAAGAGGCCCCGGATCGCCCCTCCCCCTCCTTCACCGGGTGGACTGGGAGCCCCACCCCGCCTCCAGCACCTGGCAAGTCCAGACCGAGAGGACCGATTTATTACCTCCCCCGCCCAAACAAGAAGCGCAGGCAGGCGGGCGGGTGGGAGGGAGGAAGGGCCGTACCACTGACACGGTGAGGGGAACGCAGGCTGGCCCACTGAGCAGCAGCGGGAGGGGGCGAGGCCAAGAGGCAGTCTGCTGGCCAGGCCAGTGCGAGGCTCCAGGTGGGGCAGGACCAAGCGCGCACCAGCCGTCAGACATGCTCAGTGCCTTCGCCTCCCAGCTGCCATCTCTTGGGCCAGCTGGGTGGTGGCCGGGACACCCAGGGCCCGAGAAAGCCGTTCCTCGCTGGGCACCAGCCAGGGCCCTGGGGAACCGGAGGATCGGTCGTCTGGGTCCTGCGTGCGGCGCTCCCGCTCCGGACGAACCGCCAGGCGGTCCGCTGCCCGCTCTGGGCTGGGCTCCGGGCTGGGCCGGGTCTTGGGCGTCGTCGTCGGGGATGGAGGGTGAGGAAGTGGGGAGGCGCTGGCGCTAGGAGACCTCGTCGCCTCTGGTCCCCCAGGATCTGCGCTGCGATCTGGGAAGGGCGGAACGCAGGTTAGGTTGGGGGAGCTGTAGAGAGAGCTGGCCCCTTGTCCAAAGGTGGCCAGAAGACTCCAGGTGCTGAGACAGAGACCCGCCCCTTGTAGAAACCTCCCATCAAGGCCTGGACCGGTCCTTCAGGATCAGACACTACCCCTCAGGACACCCAGCCCCTCCTTTCCAGAGACCTGCCCCTCCTGGATCCGGAACCCCTCCCTCCTCAGAAATCATTTTCCACAACCCCCAAAGGAGATCAAACCCCGCCCATCTAAGTCCCTAAAGCCTCCGCTGCACAAGCCACCTCCCTCTGCTCCCAACGCTGCCCCTGTGAGCCCTTGTCTTTAGGAAGTAGGTCCCCTACCCACCGTATTGCCCTCCCACCCCTTCCCACTCACCCCACTCAGCCTTCCCCTCCAAGGGCCGCGCTTCCTTCCAAACACCCGCTTTTCACCAGACCCCTTCCTTCTTCCCCCTCTCAGTACCTTCTCATGCTGAGACCCTCCCCACCTCACCCCCCCTTTTGAGGACGCCATAACCCCCTCACAGATACCAAACTCCCAACCTTCCCCACTGAGACCACCAAACCCTTCTCACCCAGTCACCCAGCCTCTCTATTCTGGGACCCTCTCCTTCCCTTTCCCCATCCCAGATCCTTCTCCCCTGGGAGACCCACCATCTCCTCTGTGGGGTCCGCCCCCCCTCTCAGGCTTGCTGGGGTGGGTCTCCAGGGGCCTGCTCAGCACCAGATGCAGCCGGGGGCCTCCACTGCGGATCCGCTCCACCACCTGGGTGTGGGTGAGACCCTGCGTTGACACGCCGTTGACTTGAAGCACCAGGTCACCAGCCTGTGGGAGCACAGGGCGAGGGGTGTTGGAGGAAGGGCAGGTGGTGAGCACCCTGACCCCCTGACCCAGGAAGAGGGCAGGCTCACCTGCAAGCGACCGCTGCGCTGTGCTGGCCCGTCCCTCAGCAGCCCCCGCACCGCCAGGGGCGTGTCTCTGGCCCCATCTCGGCCTCCACTCAGCGTGAGGCCAAAGCCCGCAGAACCGCGCACCAGCTCCACACAGAACGGCCCAGAGGCCTGGGGCGGCTTCGAAGCATACCCGGGCTTAATCGGAGTCACTTGGGGCGGCACAGTCCGTGTCCCCAGGGTCTCTGACCGACGATGCTAGAGTAAGGACACGCGTGTACATACATTGCCGGTCTCCAGGTGGGTGGCCTGGGTTAGGAGGACTAGGTGGTACCTGGGGCCGGTGTTCCACGAAAGTGGGATTAGGCAGGCGACTGTCCGTGACCTCTATGTCCGCAGAATCCAGCTCGCTCATGGCTGGGGGATGAAGGGAAGGAATCCAGGGGTGAATGCCATGTACACCACCCAGGTCCTGCCCCCTGAGCGGCCATTCTAGCCTCATCTCATGGACCTGCCCATTGAACTAGTCTCCACACACTCCAATGGCTGTCCTGATCTCGATGTAATAGTCCCCGACCCTGGATCATTGAATCATCCCCACACCTTCCTACTCCTAATTACACTGGGACCTTGCCCCTCCAATAAACCGCAGGCCCACCTGGGAGGGTGCAACTCCAGGATTTGACTCCAGAACATTCCAGGCTCCGCCCTCTTAATAGCCTATAAATCTCAACCAATTCCTGACATTTTGAGGTCCCAGCCACAATGAATGTACAGGCTCCACCCTCTGCACCAGTATTCCAGGCCCGCCCTCAGCTCCGTGCTCGCCCTCCACACCCTCCAGGTCCCGCTTCCTCAGGAATGACATTCAGAGCCTCCCTATGGGCATCCTCGTACCCTCAACCCATCTTCCAACACTCACCTCCTGCCATGGCCTTCCCAGTGTCATCTCCTAGGAGTATTCTAGGGTAACCCAAGGCCCCCCGCCCTCGTATCTCCCTCCAAGCCCTGTCCTCCTAACTCACACCGGCCCCCTGGGAGCCAGCTCCAGTCCTCTCCCCCAAACCCCCCGCCTCGCCCTACCCCGCCCCGCACTCACCATCTTTGGGGCGTAGACCCAATGTGGCCCCCGCCCTGCGGACCAACGCCGCCACATCGGCCGCGGCTCTGGCCGCCAGGGGGCGCGCGTCCAGCCGCGCCAGAAGCTGCCTGGCGCTGGGGCCAGTAGGCTGGGGAGGGCGGCGGCCTGCTCCGGGCGGGTGGGGGAGAACGGGTGAGAAAAACCCCGCGATCGGGGAGCCCCCACACTCCCCGACGTCCATCCACAGACCTAGAAGGCCCCTCAGGATCCCCGGAGCCCCTCCCACTCCCGCGGGAGTTCCGGAGGTCACCGACTGTCCCTCTCATCCTCTGTGAACCCCACCTTCGCGGGTACGCCTGTGGACACCCCCCGCCCCCGCCTCCACGACATCCCTGGGGACAGCTGTTTGGCCCAGTATCCCTGCACCCTCCGGGGGCCCCGTGACTGTCTCTGCAACTCCCCGAATGCCCCTTCCTCACCCTCATCCCAAACTCTTCCCACCAAAAACCCCCGACTTCCCCACGGTCTCTTCCCCCCACCCCCACCCCCCACCCGTAGCCCGGGACTCCGACTCCCCCTCCTGATACCCTGGCCCCAGACTGCCCTCTGTTATCCCCACGGGCCCACTCCTAAGCCCCCGAAACTCATCACAGACCAGTAACCTGGGCAGGCCCTCCCCCCCCAGGCCCCTGAGAGACCCCCCCCCCCTAGGCTGGCGCGCAGCCCCGGGGCGCGGTGCGGGAGGGGCCTCCAGCGCAGCCAGGGTCGCTGGGCCCCTCCTGCTGCTGCCTGGGGACCAGGCTGCCTGTTTACCACCTGTCAGAGGGCACTGGAGGGAGCGCACAGGCGGGGCGAGGTGAGCGGGAGACGCGCCTACCCTCCCCCCGCCCCCCGCCCTGCCACCGCCTACCTCCTCTGCTCCCCCTAGGGTCCGCGGCGCCCCTCGCGCGCGCCTCCATGACCCGGAGTCGCCCCGGTGGACACAGCCGCCCGCAGCGTTCGGAGCGCCCGTGCGCACTCACCTGGCTGCCCGCCCGGCCTGGCCGAGGTGAGGCGGCCGTTCCGTGCCTAGCGCCCCAGCCGGCGGGGTGACCTACCTGGCGGCAGGCAGAGGTCCTGGCTGTGGGCGCCAGCGCTTGGCCTCGCTCTGCCTTCTGTGTGAACCCAGCCTGGCCAGCGTTCTCCGTGACCCGAGCACCGCTCCCTCGGCCCTCATCCTTGTTACTCTCCCCAGCTTTGCAGCCCTGGTGGCGTGCCTCTCGGAGAGCCCCTGACCCTCCAATCCATCCCCTGAGCTGTCCTTGTGCACCCCCTTCCTTCACAGAATCCCCAGGACTGAGCGTCTTCCAGTGGAAGAAATTCCCCACCTGCAGACCCTGGAGCACCCATCTGATTGGCAAGCTTCCCGTCCCATGTCTGAGGCATCGAGGCTTCAGTGCTTGGCAGCCTGCCCGCATCATCCATGCATTCAAGTCCCTCCCTCCCAGGGATCCACAGAGCCTCCATCTCCCGTTCTCTGACCTGTAAGGACCTCCCTACCCCACCCACCAGTTCAGGAAACCCCCAGCACAGAAATATAAGCTGCCCTCTGCACCTTTAGAGCTGGAAATATTTTTTAAAATATATTTTAATTAATTTTTTTTACAGAGAGGAAAGGAGAGGGATAGATAGTTAGAAACATCTATGAGAGAGAAACATAGATCAGCTGCCTTCTGCACACCCCCCACTGGGGAAGGGCCCGCAACCTAGGTACATGCCCTTAATCGGAATCGAACCCAGGACCTTTCAGTCTGCAGGCCGACGCTCTATCCACTGAGCCAAACTGGTTTCGGCTAGAGCTGGAAATATTGAGAGTGGGGCAGAGCGGTGAAGGAGGTTCATGTATCCCCCCCTTCAGCGCGGGGGGGGGGGGGGCTGAGCTTGAGACCCATTGAGCAATCTAAGGCCACAGCTTGGGTCTTGAGGATTGCCTAGGGCAGTGGTCGGCAAACTGTGGCTCTCGAGCCACATGCGGCTCTTTGGCCCCTTGAGTGTGGCTCTTCCACAGAATAGCACGGCCTGGGCGAGTCTATGTTGAAGAAGTGGCATTAGAAGAAGTTTAAGTTTAAAAAATGTGGCTCTCCAAAGAAATTTCAGCCGTTGTACTGTTGATATTTGGCTCTGTGGACTGATGAGTTTGCCGATCACTGATCTAGGGTATCTGGTCAGGTTAGAGGTGGGGAAAGCAGGGGACCGCAAGAGGAATGAAAGCAGAGACCATCCATCTATGACAGCACTGGGACCAGGAAAGGTGGATGAGAGAGGTTGCCCAGCCAGCCAGAATGGACGTCAAGACACTGTGCATCCACAGCCTGCAATGAAAGAGACAGGGCCCGAGTGAATGCTGGGGATGAACTGCCTGAAGCCGGTGCTGTTGTCACCTGGCTGCTGGGCCCTGGGCAGGAGACCGAGCCCCTGCAGCCTGCTTCCTCTTCCATAAAGTGATAGTTATAGGCTGTCTCTCACTGTCCCCATTCCTCCTTCCACTACAGTAGCTCTGCACCCAACTGCCCCCCCCCCAGGCCTATGTCCCCAGACATCCACACCTTTTCAAATCCAGAAAAAGCTTCATTTCTCCCCTCTCATCGCCTGGTGACCCCTCCCACCGAGGTGCCTTGAAAGCGTTCTCAAGTCCAGGACCCAACAGCCTCTCAACTCTCCAGGGGACCTGCCCTTCCCCGGTTTTTGAGCCCCCAACCCTATCAGGCTCAGGGTCTTCAGCCCTTCCATGGCCCCAAAGGTTCCCTTCCCAGCCCACTAGTTCCTCAGTAGGGGCCGGCTTAGGCAGATATTCACTGCAGTTACTGAGTGCCTACTTGTGCCAAGCTGGCACTGCCATGGGTGAACCTGAGAGGGGGCGGTGAAGGATGGAGAAAAGATAGACAAGAGAATAAAGCTGGGTCCAGGTGTGATGCTCATCTCTGATGGAGAGACAGCCTACATACAGCCTGCAAGCCCGGTCTTTTATAGCCAGATTCCAGGGGGCAAAGTAAGGGCTTGGTCAAGATGTTTACAGTGTTCTGGCAGGGGGGGCGGCTGGAATCTACTCAATTACATGCCCCTGATCAAGCTTTGTTTACTTGCTGCACCTCTCGAAGCCCACTAGCGAAGAGGGACCCTCGGTTTGGACCATAAGGTTAAGCTTACAACTATAGCCTTTGACTGTAATTGTGCTGGCACCTGCAAGTGGCTTTGCCATGAGAGGATCGTGCCCTCTCACTAGTCCCAGGCTTAAACCTGTCCAAACGCTGTAGCCGCTCTCCACACCTACTATGTGCAAAGCTCTGTTGGAGGCTGTGCAGTTCCCAGGTCACTTGGACTCCAGTTCTGCATCTCATTTTTAGGGATCAGATCTGGGTGTGGAGTCTTTAACTTCTCTGCACTCGACTTCCCCTTCTTACACGTGGAATAACACGTGGGTGGAAGAAGGGCCCCAGCCCAGGGTCCAGGGATGAGAGAGGCACCCGGGGACAGAGCGAGGCCAAGCGCTGGCATTCACAGCCAGGCCTCCTTGCAGGACGCCAGGTAGGTCACCCCGCCCGCCCAACTGAGGCGCCAGACAGAGAACAGGCCGCTCCCCCCCCCCCCCCCCAGGGCCAGGCCAGGCTGGCGGGCAGGTGAGTGCGCACGGGCGCTCCAAATGCGTCCTTGGCGGCTGTGCGTCCACCTGGGCGACTGGTCATAGAGGCCCACACGGGGGAGGGAGGGCATCACGGACCTTAGGGGGAGCAGAGGAGGTATGGCGGTGGCAGGGGGAGAGGGGGGTAGGCGTGTCTCCCGCACACCTCTCCTCGCCTGTGCGCTCCCTCCCGTGCCCTCTGACAGGTGGTAAACAGGCAGCCTGGTCCCAGGCGGCAGTGGCAGGAGGGGCCCAGCGACTCTGGCTGCGCTGGAGGCCCCTCCCGCACCCGCGCCAGCTCCCAGGAGCCTCTGGGGGAATTGCGGGAGGGGCCTGCCCAGGTCACTGGTCTGTGATGAGTTTCGGGGGCTTAGGCGCGGGCCTAGGGCACTGCCCAGGGCATCTGGAGGGGGAGTCGGAGTCCCGGGCCACTTCCCCAGATGTCTTAAGAGACCGTATTGCAGGGTAAGAGTTTGGAATGAGGGTGAGGAAGGGGCATTCGGGGAGTTGCAGAGACAGTCACGGGGCCCCCGGAGGGTGCAGGGATACTGGGCCAAACAGCTGTCCCCAGGGATGCCGTGGAGGCGAGGGTGGGGGTGAGGGGTGGTTTAACACACGCGTACCCGCGAAGGTGGGGTTCACAGAGGATGAGAGTGACAGTCGGTGACCTCCGGAACTCCCGTGGGAGTGGGAGGGGCTCCGGGGATCCTGAGGAGCCATCTAGGTCTTCGGGGAGTGTGGGGAACTCGCTGATCTCGGAGTTTGTTTTACCAGTTCTCCCCCACCCGCCAGGAGCAGGCCGCCATGCTCCTCAGCCTGTGGGCCCCAGCGCCAGGCAGCTCCTGGCGCCCCCTGGCGGCCAGAATCGAGGCCGATGTGGCGGTGCTGGTCCGCAGGGCGGGGGCCACAATGGGTCTACACCCCAAGGACTTGCGTCATTGTTTCCCACTGGGCTATAAACCTCTAAAGAGGAGGTCTATTTTATTTGTTTTTTAAATTGTTATCTTACATTTTTATTGATTTCAGAGAGGAAGGGAGAGGGAGAGGAAGACAGAAACATCAGTGATGAGAGAGAATCATTGATTGGCCGCCTCCGGCACATCCCTTGCTAGGGATGGAGCCTGCAACCAGGGCATGTGCCCTTGATTGGGAATCAAACCCGCGAACTTTCTTTGTGCAGGCCGATGCTCTAACCACCAGTCGGGGCTATTTTATTAATATTTGAACCTAGAGCTTGTCGAGTATTAAAGCTTGCATCGGTGGGCATTATTTACATGTCTATTTTGTATTATTTTACACAACTGGTATTCAAAGATTTCCTCCCTCTAATTATTTATCTTACCTACACTTTCCACACGAGTAGGGCACAGTAACATGTACACAGTAGGCGATCAATAAATACTTGCCAAATACCGTACAAATAATGAATGCAGGGCGAGAACGGCACCACCTCTTACCACGCCTACCTCCCCGGAGGAATTACATTTCCCAGCATGCTTGGCGCTAAGTGCGTCTCTAAAGTCAAAGCGGCAACTACTTCCCACGGCCCCTGATTCGTCTTCGCGGGTAGATGCCGCAGTGCTTCATGGGAAATGTAGTTCTAGTGCCCGTCCTCCGGCCTCTGGCAAACTGAGCCCAAACTAAACTTCCCAGCAAGCAGCGCGCGGGCCTGGGAAGAGGAGCAAGATGGCGGACTCTGAAGAAGGTGTTTCGAGGACCGGGGGACCCTCTACTGCCCCAATTTCGTTTAGCTTCAGTCGTACGGCCCGAAGACGGCTGGCCGACCGGGGAGACGACCAGGGTGCGGCTTCGGAAGAGAAGGATTTCCTGAAGACCGTGGAAGGAAGGAAGCTGCAGAGGTGAACCGCTGGTTCTTTCAACCCTTGGGCATCGGTGCGGTGGGTGCGAGGGGGAGAATGCAGTCTGAGTTGACTGTCTCGGTGCCAGTGGCCTGGAAAGCCTGAGTGCCGCGTGAGGAAATTCGTGGAGGAGAGAAGGCGGGTGTGTGTAGGACAGGAGAAACTGAGCCTGATGGCCCTGGGGATGGACGAGAGAACACATCCTGAGAGGGGTTGTCTTAGGATTTGGGGGCCCTGAGGTGTGTGCGTTCTGAAAGAAGGAAAGGAGAGAATGACAGGACCCTAGTGTCTCAACTGAAATGGTGAGGCTTGTCCGGTATGGGGACGGAAGGAAGCGGCAGATTGAGGTTGGGGGAGGCCATCCTCAGGCTAATTTGGAAAGGCGGGTGTGGAGAGTCTGGACTGAAGATGGTCATTTGTGGGTCATTGTGGAAGCCATTGACTGAGGACTGATTACTGGAAGGCACAGCTAACTGTTGGGGGTGGAGGAGGGCATCCAAAGAAGGTTTTCTGGCTATATCCAGAGATGTAACTGAAGAACCAGACAGAGCCTGGCCGGTGGGCCTGTGGGTGAGTCTGGCTCTGTGTTTTCTCTGAATGAAGGGTTGTGGCTCAGCACCATTGACCGTGCTACTCTTCCGACTTAACCCCTTTGTGTTTACATTAGCGTGAAGCCCACAGAAGCCCCCAAGGAGCTCGTCATCCCTTTGATTCAGAATGACCCTCGCAGGCAGCCACTCACCCAGGCCCCTGGCCTATCCACATACGTTGAGGACATTGGGGATGGGGTGCTGACCCAGGCTGTGAAGGAGCTCATTGAGGGTGAGTGACCCCTCTTTGCCTTGCCCTGGTGAAGGAAGAACACTAGGAAAGTGGAAGGGTATGGTGGGACCTCATTGTTCCCTCCCATTCTTCCTCAGAATCCAAGAAGTCTCTGGAGGAAAGAGAGAATGCGGGTGTCGACCCCACGCTCGCTATCCCCATGATCCAGAAAGGATGCACCCCCAACGAGGAAGGGGCAGGCAGCGAGCCCCGGGCTGAGACAGTGAGCTGGCCCCTCACCCCCCTCCTGCCCCAGCTGCTCATTTCCCTATCTGCCAGGCCTTCCCTGCACAGAGCGGGGAAAGTCTGTGTGTGTCTTAGAGGCCTGCTGCCTACCCCTTCCTCCTTCCATCCTTTGGAGTGTTTGGGGAACACCAAGGGGACTGATGTAACAGGATTGGAATGAGTGAAGGGGAAGGCCATGGTGAGGACTTCGGGTTTACTCTGAATGGGATGAGAGCCATGAGAGGGCCCTGAGCAGAGAAGGGACAAGGCATGATTTGACAGGATTTCTCTGGCTGCTGCGAGCTGAACAGACTAGTAAGCAGAGATGGAAGCAAAGAGACCTACTGGCCACAGATGATGGAGACTGAGACGAGAATGTAGGAGAGAGACTTGGAAGGACAGCTAGGGTTTAATGATAATGGTAAGAGCAGGGTGAGTACTCCTAATGGCAGCAGCAACCCAGACAATGGCATTTTGGCAGCAAATCTATGTGATACGTATCCAACCTGGAGGCAAGTTGTGTGTCTGGAGTGAGTATAAAGAATTGAGGGAGCCCTAATTGGTTTGGCTCAGTGGATAGAGCGTTGGCCTGCAGACTCAAGGTTCCCAGGTTGGATTCCGGTCAAGGGCATGTATCTTGGTTGTGGACACATCCCCAGGAGGGGATGTGCAGGAGGCAGCTGATTGATGTTTCTCTCTCATTGATGTTTCTAACTCTCTATCCCTCTCCCTTCCTCTCTGTAAAAAATCAGTAAAATATATTTTTTTTAAAAGAATTGAGGGAGCCCGGCTGGCGTGGCTCAGTGGTTGAGCGTCAACCTAGGAACCAGGAGGTCATGGTTCGATTCCCAGTCAGGGCACATGTTCGGGTTGTGGCCTGGATCCCCAGTGTGGGGTGTACAGGAGGTGGCTAATCAGTGATTCTTATCATTGATGTTTCTATCTCTCTCACCCTCTTCCTTCCTCTCTGAAATCAATATATATATATTTAAATAAAAGCATTGAGGGAATTAAAAAAAAAAAAAAAGAATTGAGGGAGTGATGATGAGAGGTGAGACCATGAGAGATGAGGGTTGTGTCTACAGAAGGAACCAAGTCTGTCTTTTATACCCATAAACCTACATTTTACCTCTTCACTCACAGTTTTTTGCAGTGCCTTTTGTTGTTTTGTTTTGAAATTTTTATTTATTGATTTTAGAGAGAGAGAGGAAGGGAGAAAGAGAAAAACATTGAGTTGTTATCCCACTTATTTATGCATTCATTGGTTGATTCTTGTATGTGTCCTGACTGGGAATTGAACCCATAACTTTAGCATGGCAGGATGATGCTCTAACCAACTGAGCTACTACACCAGGGCTGCAATGCTGCTTTGAAGCGTAGTTTTCTTTCCTTCCCTTTCCTTTTTTTTTCTTTTCTTCCTTCCTTCCTTCCTTTCTTTCTTTGTTTTAATGCTCACCTGAGGATATTTTTCTACTAATTTTTAGAGAGAGTAGGAGGACAGAGAAAAACATCAATGTGAGAGAGACACATTGATTGGTTGCCTTCCCACACTCCCCAACCAAGGCTGGGGATTGAGTCTGCAGTCAAGGTACATGCCCTTGACCGGAAGCAAACCTGGGACCCTTCATTCTATAGGCCAACACTCTTTCCACTGAGTCAAACCAGCTAGGGCAGGAGCCTAGTTTTCTTACAGCCCCAGATCACCATCTCTTTTGACTGAACTGTTCTCATCAGCCTTCAGATGTCTTCTGGTTTCCCTATTATAAAAAAAAAAACAAATCAGCCGGGACCGGTTTAGCTCAATGGATAGAGTGTCGGCTTGGGGACTGAAGGGACCCGGGTTCGATTCCGGTCAAGGGCATATACCTTGGTTGCGGGCATATCCCCAGTAGGGGGTGTGCAAGAGGCAACTGATCGATGACTCTCTCTCATCGATGTTTCTAACTCTCTATCTCTCTCCCTTCCTCTCTGTACAAAATCAATAAAATATATTTAAAAAAAAAAAAAAAAAAAAAAAAAAAAACAAATCAAAAAGAAAACTTTCACTTTACTCTCCATCCTGTTCTAGCTTTGGCCTCATTTCTCTCGTTTTCCTCCTCTTGCAGTTTCATCCATCCTTCCTCTCACTCAGCCTAGAAACCTTATCATCACCTTTGACTCCCCTCTTTATCTCATACCCTATATACAATCGGTCAGCAGAATCCTATCATGTCACTTTCCAAAATACATCTAGAATCTGACCGCTTCTCCCCATCCACCACTGGCATGCTGGTCTGAACCACTAGCATCTCTTATTTGATCTATTAGTTACTCACTAGCTGATCCCCCTTGGGGCTGCCACCCTCTTGTGACTCCTGACCAGCTCTTTTAATTAATTTCTTGCCAGCCCTCTCTGCCTCTGCATCTCTGTTTCAGTCAGGTTAACTTCCATGATGGTGTTCACACCTACCACATCTTATCTGCCTCAGGGCCTTTGCATCTTCCTTCTCACATCCTCATGGCTCCCCGTTATCTCCATCTGATCTCTCCTCGCAATGTCAACTCAGTGGCACTCCCTTCTTCATCTTTCTCATGTCCTTAACCTGCGTTCCTTTTCTTCATATACCTTATCGCCACCTGACATATCATGTGTTATGTATTTTATTTCTTCTGTGTCCTATAATTTGAATATAAGCCCCACAAGGTCAGGGGTTTTTTTGTGTCTGTTTTGTTCATTGCCTTATCCCAGTACCTGGCACTGAATAGGTGCTTTGTAAATATTTGTTGAAGGACTGAACTAGAGGCGTAAAGTGAGGGATAGCAAGAGTCGATCAGAAGTTACCCTTAAGCAGATTGGAAAAGAAGCATCGAGGGTTACCCAATAAGGGATAGCAAATGCACTTCAGAGGCCTCTTAGTGTGAGCAAAGTCTGACTGTTCTTCCTCCTCCTGAACCCGCAGGTGCCCGAGGAGGCCGATTACGAGGCGGTCCCCGTGGAGGCCTATGGGCTGGCCATGTTGCGGGGCATGGGCTGGAAACCTGGCCTGGGCCTCGGTCGCACCTTCAGCCAGTGAGTTCTGGGGTAGGCCCATGGGGACAACAGACAGAATAGTAAACGGGACCCCTGTGGTGACGCCCACCCAGAACCAGCTAGGCATGGGAAGAGCACATTACCACCCTAACCAATCCAGGAGTGTCTTCCACTGCTGTTCCAAACTCCTATTTGCCCTTTGAAACTCTATGATTGGGTCCCGTTTATGGAAAGACCGCCTCTCTGGGTATCAGCTTCCTTGTCTGAGAAACAGGGGTAATAACAGCATCGAGTTCCAGATCTGCTGTGAGAAATAAGTGAACTTGTACATGTAAAGCACTCGCAGGAGATCCCGGCCCCCAATAAGCATAGACTAAACATTTGCTGTTACCGCACAGACTTACAATCCCTCCCCACAGTTCTAAACCCCAAAAACATTCTGAAAACCGAACTTGTTTTCATAAATGCTTTGGCAGCCAAGTGTGGCCTGAATTGACATTGTTTTGTAGTGTATATTCTCCTGCTTGGTATGAATATTTATATGATTTCCCTTGTAAAAAAAATATTAGTGAATTTGGTTATACTGTGGATCTTATGTAATGGGTGGCATATGTAACATGTTATTAGGTTGAATCCAATGAAATTGCCATTTCTGTAGGTCAAAACTGCTCCTACCATGAGATGGGGAAGTACACTCTTAAACATTTCGAAAGGGTGGGATTTGGATAGGGATTGGGGTGGGGGGAAAGGGAGCATTGAAGACCTTTACATAACCCCCAAGCCCATATTTTGTGCTCTCTACAGAGTGGTGAAGCCCCCTGTCGCCTCACTGAGACCTAAAGGGTTAGGGCTGGGCGCCAACCTGGCTGAGGTCCAGGCCCTGGCCCCCTCCGGCCCCCACCGCCCACCGAGGCCAGGTGAGCAAGAGAAGGATAAGGAAGACCAGCCTCAAGGACTGGTAGCTGGAGGTGCTGTGGTGGTTCTTTCTGGCCCTTTTCGAGGCCTCTATGGGAAGGTAAGGAACCGAGATGTGCCAGGAGCCAAAACAGGCAGCAGAAAAGACTGATGTGAGGGTCAGGACGGAGAAGAATTGGGTTTGGGATAGAAAGGCTGGAAGTCCTTGTCTTTTAGGCCTTATTTGGTAACTTGGGGCCACTTGCTGGGCCTTTCTGAGCCTCAGTTTCTAGCTAAGGGGGAGAGAGTGCCATATGCCACAAGTGCATAAGGATGGCCAAGCCCCACAGTCTGGTGGGGGGAACACAGGGACCCCTGGCCCAAGCCCTCAGGGGTCACAGTCTGGTGGAGGAGACACAGGGACCAGTCCCAGGCCTCACGGTCAAAGTCAGCCTTCGGATGCCAATGGCCATCCCTCAGACTCACTTCCAGGACCCGGCCTGGACCAAGCTTGGTCCCCACTCTCAGGGGTCACAGCCTGCTGGGGGAGACACGGGCAGGCCGATTAGAGGTAAGGGTGGAAAGCTTGGTCCTAGGAATGTAGGTCGAGTTCACACAACCTTTGCCTAACTGCCTCTTCCCAACACTTTAGGTGGAAGGCCTGGATCCTGACAATGCCCGGGTCATGGTTCGCTTGGCCACGGGGAGCCGCATGGTGACTGTCAGTGAGTACTGTCTACGGCCTGTCTCCCAGCAAGAATTTAGCAAGAACTCCAAGAACTCCTTGGATCCCAGTGAGTGAGCTCTTGCCTAGCTGGGGGTGAGAGGGCTTGTCTTGGGCTTGCATGGTGTGTGTGTGTGTGTGTGAGAGAGAGATCTGCAGGGGGGGGCAGCAGTGAGAGTGGAGATAGTGGTTTATTCAGTTGGGTTGAAGAAAGATTGATCTATCAATAGTAACCATGAGTCTTTTTAAAAAAATATATATTTTACTGATTCTTTCACAGAGAGGAAGGGAGAGGGATAGAGAGATAGAAACATCGATGAGAGAGAAGCATCAACCAGCTGCCTTCTGCACGCCCCCCACTGGGGATGTGCCCGCAACCAAGGCACATGCCCTTAACGGGAATCAAACCCGGGATCCTTCAGTCCCCAGGCTGACGCTCTATCCACTGAGCCACACCAGCTAGGGCTGACCGTGAGTCTTTAGCCTCTTTCTGAACTAGAATAAACGGGTGTGAAAACCATTTTCTACCCTTGGGAGGTCTATTTAGGGTGGTGAACCTCTCTTTTGCTAGGGAGTGAGAGCAGCTAGGAGTATGGCATAACCAGGGGTGGGGGAAGCATTTTAGGCATGTTGGCAGAATGGGGCAGTTTGGCAGATGGGAGGTGGGAGATGGGTGCCAGCGGGGCTCCCCAGAACTCCTAGCCCGCACCAGGCAGGCGGCTCGGGCAGGCACTGTGGGCACAGGCTGTGGCGGTTGAGAAAGGCTTCCTGATGGAGGCCGAGACAGGCGAGAGGAAGTGAAGGGCATTCTGATGACGCAGGCACAGGCATGCCTGGGAGAAGGGGCACTGAGGCAGAGGGGAGATGGTCTGAGGCTGAGGTGAGACATTGAAGGTCTTTCCTGGTTCTCCCCCTTGAACAGGCCACGCGAGCAAAACTTCCTCAGGACCGCAGAACGGAACGGCCTCGCTGGGGAAGGGTTCAGAACTTCCCAGCCGGCAGAGAGCGGAAGAGAAGCGGAGGCACCTTCCAGACCGGTGGGGCCCTGGGCATCTGGGATGGCGGAGGAAGGTAGGGGTGTGGGGAGGCTCCGGCAGTCAGAGAAGGCTTCCAGGGCAAGGCAGGTGCATGGAAGGAACTAGAAACGGTACTGTGGGTGGGCTTTACGGCATCAGCAAAGGCGGGGCGACCAGAACACACATGTGACTATGCCTGGGGTCTGCCCTGTCTCCACAGACAAGATGAGCCTCCAGCCAAGAGGGAGAAAGCAGCCTCGAGGAGGCAGCACTGGTTGCACAGGGACTTGCGCGTGCGTTTTGTGGACAAGCTGCACAAGCGCGGCCAGTATTACAACACCAAGGTAGGCACCCCAGCCCAGGTCCCCTCCCCCCCCCCCCCCAGGGACCGGGCCCCCTTCACTCACTGACATGCTCATGTCCCTGGCCCTCTCCCCAGATGATCATCGAAGATGTCCTCAGCCCAGATACTTGTGTGTGTCGGACAGATGAAGGCCAGGTCCTGGATGGTGAGTCTGAGGGATGGCCACTGGGTCATCAACATCCTGGAGGCTGATCAAGAAGGCTGTCTTAGCCCTAGCCAGTTTGGCTCAGTGGCTAGAGCATCAACCTATGGATTGAAGGGTCCCGGGTTCGATTCTGGTCAACGGCACATGCCTGGGTTGTGGGCTCAATCCCCAGTAGGGGGGTGCAGGAGGCCACCAATCAATGATTCTCTCATCACTGATGTTCCTCCCTTCTTCCCGCCCTCCCTTCCTCTCTGAAATTAATAAAAATACTTAAAAAAAAGAAAAGAAAAAGAAAGCTGTCTTACTTAGCCTGGTTGCCATGGCTCAGTGGTTGAGCATCAACCTACAAAGCAAGAGGTCACAGTTCAATTCCTGGCCAGGCACATGCCCTGGTTGTGGGTTGTGGGCTCGATTTCCATTGGGGAGCATGCTGGAGGCAGCTAATCGATAATTTTCTCTTATCTTTGATCTTTCCCTCTCTCCCTCCCTCCCTCCCTCTCCCTCTCCCTCTCCCTCTCCCTCTCCCTCTCCCTCTCCTCTCCCTCTCCCTCTCCCTCTCCCTCTCCTCTCCTCTCCCTCTCCCTCTCCCTCTCCCTCTCCTTCTCCCTTTCCCTCTCCCTCTCCCTCTCCCTCTCCCTCTCCCTCTCCCTCTCCCTCTCCCTCTTCTCCTCTCCTTTCCTCTCTGAAATCAATAAAAATGTATTCTTTTAAAAAGGCTGTCTTAAACCAAAAGCCTGTCCAGGCAAAAGCGGGGAGGTTGGGCAGAGTTGGAGTTTTTTGCAAGGCCCCACATTCTCTAACACGATGTCAGATACTTCTCTGAGCCCCGCTTTCCACGTCTGCAAAAGCAGCCTGGAAATGACCCATTTCTTCCTGTTGTGACTGATGCTTTATGTGGGAGGGTTTTGAATACCCCATGCAGGGCAGGGTTTAAGCATGGCCATAGTATGCAATGTCCTGTTACCACCACCACCCGTCATCACCGTATGTAAATGCTCCCTTTAGTACAGCTATTGCTAGGAACTGCTCTTAGGTTTCCTCGTCTGTGAAACGGGTGTAGTAGGACTCCCATCAGCCAACAGGGTACAGGCGGCTCCATAGAATCCATGAAAGACCCTTCTGACAGAACCCTGGCTGGGCTGGCCCTTGACTGCAGACCTCACTCGCCTTTCCTTCTCTGCAGGGATCAGGGAAGACATGCTCGAGACTCTCATCCCCAAGGTCCAGGGCAAACGGGTGATGGTGGTGCTGGGGCCACAGGCTGGAAGGGTGAGTCCTGGACCTGGAAGGGGCAGTGGGAGCAAGGGCTGGGGCAAGGGATGTCCCAGGGTCTGAGCTGGCCTGGCTGACGTCAACTGTCCCTCTAGGTGGGCCGCCTGCTGAGCTGGGACAGAGAGCAGAGCCAGGCTGTGGTGCAGCTTCGGAGAGAGAATCGGGTGTTGGAGCTTCACTACGATGCTGTCTGCGAGTACATAGGCCCCGATGACTCCGATGAAGACTGACCCATGGACCCGATCCACTCCCCAGGTGCCACTTACTGTTTTTTTGTTTGTTTTTTCAGTTTTTAAAAAATATAGTTTATTGATTTTTTACAGAGAGGAAGAGAGAGGGATAGAGAGTCAGAAACATCGATGAGAGAGAAACATCGACCAGCTGCCTCCTGCACACACCCCACTGGGGATGTGCCCGCAGCCAAGGTACATGCCCTTTACCGGAATCAAACCTGGGACCTTTCAGTCCGCAGGCCAACGCTCTATCCACTGAGCCAAACTGGTTTCAGCTGTTTTGTTTTGTTTTTAATAAATCTTTATTGTTCGGATTATTACAATTGTTTCTTGCCATCCCCCATAGCTCCCATCCACCTGGTCCCCACTCCACCCTCTGCCCTTACCCCCCCCCCCCCTTCGTCCTCATCCATAGGTATATGATTTTTGTCCAGCCACTTATTGTTTAGTGTTGGTTTTTGTTTTGTTTTTCAGTTCCCAGTTCTGTACATTGTCAGAAGCCTGCCTTTGTCACTGCTTTGTCCTGCCTTGCAGTTCAGCCCTGGGACAGGGACAGGGCATGAAATGGATGGACCAGAGGGAGGCTGGACACAAACCTAGTATTTATCAGCACTTCGTGTAAAATAAAAAGCATTTCAAATACTTAGATGAAAAGCTCATCAGTGGTATGCCGAGCAGTGAGTGGAGGTGGGAGGGGCGCCGAGGCGGGGACCACTTCATTTTTCAGCCCTACCGCCCTGCTTGGGCTGCCAGACCAGTGAAAGGATCCATTCGCTCACGAACTCACTCAGAACACAGAAGCTATGACATCTGTCCCCTAAGCAGACACCGTGGAGTCTGGAACACCACATCTCCGGACAGTTGTCTGAGCAGGAAACCTAGCAGTGGCTCTGCTTCTCATCTTGGTTCACAGCATAACTTGAGTCCAATGATGGCAGTGAAGAGGAACGGAAGCATCTACCCATGAATGGGATATGTTAGCCCTCCTTTCCAAAAGAAGCAGTTATGTTTTTTAAATATATTTTATTGATTTTTTTACAAAGAGGAAGGGAGAGGGATAGAGAGAAACATCGAGAAACATCTATCAGCCGCCTCCTGCACACCTCCCACTGGGGATGTGCCCGCAACCAAGGTACATGCCCTTAACTGGAATCGAACCCGGGACCCTTGAGTCCGCAGGCCAGTGCTCTATCCACTGCACCAAATCGGCTTCGGCGGAGCCAATTATTTTCATGGAACCCATTTTAGTTCCAAAACTTTGGCTTGAAGTTAAAAAATCTTTTTTTTTTTTTTTTTAGCATATTATGCTTTTTAAAATTACTATTATTATAAAGTATCCATTTTTGAGAGAGGCCTATAGATTAAATTTTTTAAATCTATTTTGTTGATTTTTTTACAGAGAGGAAGGGAGAAGGATAGTTAGAAACATTGATCAGCTGCCTACTGGGGATGTGCCCGCAACCAAGGTACATGCCCTTGACCGGAATTGAACCTGGGACCCTTGAGTCTGCAGGCCGATGCTCTATCCACTGAGCCAAACTGGTTAGGGCTAAAAAATCTTTTGCCTTGCGGCTGGGTAGCTCAGTTGGTTAGAGTCATCCCAATAGGCCAAGGGTTTTGGTTTCATCCTGGTTAGGCACAGAAAAGAATCAACCAGTGAATACATACATAAGTGGAACAACAAATCGATGCTTCTCTCTCCCTTACATTCTTTCTAAAAAAATAAAATAAAAACTGAGAAGGGCTCTGTCACAGGTAGAATGTAGTTGCTCCAGGTAACTGGATTCTCAAAAAGGTTATTGTCAGAGTCCTCAAACTTTTCTGTTTAATAGTCTGAGATACAAAATCAACAAGGGAAGTCAGAGTTTAGGCACAATTGCTTTTTTTTTCTTTTTAAAAAATTATTGAGCCCTAGCCAGTGTGGCTCAGTGGATAGAGCGTCACCTGCAGACTAAAAGGTCTCAAGTTTTATTCCGGTCAAGGGCCCATGCCCAGGTTATGGGCTCGATCCCCAGTGGGAGACTTGTAGGAGGCGGCCCATCCATGATTCTCTCATCATGGGTGTTTCTATCTCTCCCTCTTCCTTCCTCTCTGAAATCAATAAATATATATTTTTTAAATTGTTGATTTTAGTAACATCAATTTGTTATTCCATGTATTTATGCATTCATTGATTGATACATGTGCCTGAGCAGGGATGAAACCCAAAAGCTTGGCCTCTCAGGATGACTATCCACCTGAACTACTACCCATCCAGGGTGGCACAATTGTTTCTAAATCGTCCCCAGTCACTAAGCCATAGATGTAATAAATAGGATTTGAGTTAGATCTAGGCCAGTGGTCAGCAAACCGCGGCTCGAGAGCCACATGTGGCTCTTTGGCCCCTTCAGTGTTCTAACGCCACTTCTTCAAAATGGACTCGCCCACGCTGAAAACCAACTTCTGCGCATGGGCCACAAAGCTCCAGTCACACTGTACATGCGTGCCCAAACGTATTTTGTGGAGGAGCCATACTCAAGGAGCCAAAGAGCCACATGTGGCTCGCGAGCCGCAGTTTGCCGACCACTGATTTAGGCCACTGGTACAAAGTCCTGGTGGGTCAGAATGTGGCACAGTGCTGGAGAACTTAAAACACTCCTAGAGCAGGATGGCGAAGCAGTTGCTGTCCCCACTGCCAAGCAATGGCAGCCTGCTGTTCAGAACCACAATGAGAATAGCCATGTGCTCCTAAGGTAAGAGATGATTACGGAACCTTCCAGTATTTACTAACCCCAACATGAAGCACACTTGCACAGACTGACTTTTTTGTCATTCCCTGATTCCAGAACTCGTCTGTTTTCAAGATTGGCCGAACAGGCTTGTTAAGGGAGATAGCAGGCACAAACCCTACTCCTAGTTCACCCCTCTCCGGTCATTGTGAGTGCAGGCACTACCCCTGGAATTCCAGGCTCAGTAGTATTTTTAATCCGGGGAAGGGTTGGGATTTTAGAGTTTGAGGGCTCTCTGACAATAACCTTTTTGAGAATCCAGTTACCTAGAGCAACCAAATTCTACCTGAGACAGAGCCCTTCTCAGTTTTTAATAAGCTTGGCAGAGCCAGACAGTGCTCTAACCAAAGGCCCTACCCAGCCAGGCCTTCAGAGCTTTTCAAACTCCCCTCTGGACATTCTGTTCCCTAGCTCTCACTTTCATGTTTATTGGTCAAACTCTTGTTTGCTCTAACTCTTACCACCAATTTGGCATGTCCAGTACTCAGCTTCCTCTGTTATGTGTGCTTCACCCAGTCAAGAAGGCCTACTCCTTCCTCCAAATCACAATAAATCCATCTTTTCTTTTTAATTGATTTTTTACAGAGAGGAAGGAAGAGGGTTAGAAAGCTAGGAACGTCGATGAGAGGGGAAAATCAGCTGCCTCCTGCACACCGCCCACTGGGGATGTGCCCGCAACCAATGTACGTGCCCTTGACCGGAATGGAGCCTGGGACCCCCCAGTCCGCAGGCCGACATTCTATCCACTGAGCCACACCGATTTCGGCAATAAATCCATCTTGGTAACACCCTTGAGAAGGGCTCAGATCTCCCTGTGTCTGCCCTGCAACATGGCATAACCTGGCAGTTGTGGACAATCCCTCCAACTCCTCCATGCACCGTGATACTTAAAATAGATCTTTCATCAGATTCTGATTTCCTGGAGTTAACATTTCTCCCAAGCCTGCCGTTGAAAACGGGGCCTAAAGTTAGTGAGTACTGCCTTGTGTCCAGAATGCCTAGCTACTCTGCCTCAGCCTTCACTCTTGCCCTCACAGAGCCTTGAGGTTACACAGAGGTGAGAGTTTAGGGCCGCCTCAGTTCTTTTCTGGGTGTGCTTACAGCACTGCGCATGCACCTGCACCTGTCCTTCCAGATCCCCAGGAATATATCAGAACTTTTAAAAAAAAAATTATGTATTGACTAGAGAGAGAAAAACATTCATATGTTGTTCCACCTATTTTTTCATTCATTGGTTGGTATCTTGGATGTGCCCTGACTGGGGATCAAATGCATAATCTTGGCATAGCCGGACAGTGCTCTAACCAAAGGCCCTAACCAGCCAGGGCTGCAGAGCTTTTCAAATCCCCCTCTGGACATTCTATTCCTTGGCTCTTACTTTCATGTTTATTGTTCAACCTCTTGTTTGCTCTAACTCTTATCACCACTGCAGGCAACTGCGGAGTTAAACAATGACCACCAACTGTTTTGAAATGGCTATGCAAACAGTTCTGAGTCAGGTCAAACAAAGATGAGCTCTGTAAGGGGAAGTGTCTCAGGAACTGCCTTGCAGGTGACAATTATCTGGGTCTCACGCCCACTAGGATGGCTTGTATTTTAAAAAAGAGAAGTGAAACCGGTTTGGCTCAATGGATAGAGCGTCGGGTCTGTTCGATTCCCATCAAGGGCATGTACATTGGTTGCGGGCACATCCCCAGTAGGGGTGTGCAGGAGGCAGCTGGTCAATGTTTCTCTCTCATCGATGTTTCTAGCTCTCTATCCCTCTCCCTTCCTCTCTGTAAAAAATCAATAAAAAACAAACAAACTATATATATATATATATTGCAATATATATATATGAAGTGTTGGTGAGGATGTGAGAAATTGGAACCTTTTCGAACTATTGGTTGGAATATAAAATGGTGCAGCTGCTATGGAAAATAGTATGGCATTTCCCCCCCAAATTAAAAAAAGAAAAACCACAGAATTACTATTTAATCCATCAATTCCACTTCTGGATATATAGTCAGAAGAATTGATTTTGCACATCCATGCTCATTAGAAGCATTATTCACAATAGCCAAAAGGTGGAAGCAATCCAGTGCCCATCAGTAAATAAGCAAATTATGGCATCTATATATATAAAAGCCTACCCAAGACTGGTTTGGCTTAGTGGATAGAGCACATGTGTCAAACACAAGGCCCGCGGGCCAAATCCGTCCCGCCAGGCCTTGCAATGTGGCCCGCACCGCGCTGTCATCACTGCACTCCGCTGCGTTTCCATCACAATGACAGTTTATGACTGTTCAGTAAACCATTCGGCCCGCGATTTAGGCTGGATTTTAGATTTTGGCCCCTTCTCTGATTGAGTTCGACACCCCTAGGATAGAGCATCAGCCTGCGGACTGAAGGGTCCTGGGTTTGATGCTGGTCAAGGGCATGTACCTTGGTTGCAGGCACATCACCAGTAGGGGGTGTGCAGGAGGCAGCTGGTCGATGATTCTCTCTCATCGATGTTTCTAGTTCTCTATCCCTCTCCCTTCCTCTCTGTAAAAAAAATCAATAAAATCTGCTGGGACCGGTTTGGCTCAGTGGATAGAGCGTCGGCTTGGGGACTGAAGGGCCCCGGGTTCGATTCCGGTCAAGGGCATGTACCTTGGTTGCAGGCATATCCCCAGTAGGGGGTGTGCAAGAGGCAGCTGATCGATGACTCTCTCTTATTGATGTTTCTAGCTATCTCTCTCCCTTCCTCTCTGTACAAAAATCAATAAAATATATTTTTAAAAATCAATAAAATCTATAATATATATATATTTTAAAAAGCCTAAGCAACCAGAACAACTGGAATGGCGGGTCGTTATGAAGCACACTGACCACCAGGGGGCAGATGCTCAATGTA